GTTTTCTGTGCACACGCGAGTTTTCGACATTCAAACATTCATAACTTTCTTCATAATCAACTTTTTGCAGATGTCTAAGGCTAATTAGAAACTAGAAGATTAGAGCTTTCAAACAAGTACCTGACTTTTTTCCAACGATCCCTCTCTCAAAAAATAGTCCTTGTTCCGTTTTTGTGGGTTTGATTGAAAGCATCGAAATTCTCTTCAGGAAGTTTGTCTGCTTACGGCCGCTGACAGAGGAGGCGTTTTTATGGGAAAACGCCTGCTCGGGTATACGCCGTGCACCTGTCTGTGGGCAGAAGTCGCACTCGCATTTGAAAGTCCTCCATTTTCCTGAAGAAGGTGTTAGTATCGTGATTGAGTTGCATTGTACTGTTATATGGTACTCTTGTTTCACTTCCCCATGAACTGCTCTACACTTTGTTCTCCTTGGGATTTCAGGAATGTTCGATCATCGAAGACAGACCATGTTTTTGCACTTGTTTTTTTGGCTATTGTAATCTTGATCTATGCTGTCGAGCGAAAGCGCCGTGTATTAAGGATAATAATGGCTGATAGTGAGACTTATAATGCTCTGCATGCTCTAATGCTCCCATGGAGCTCTTGTCTGTGTGACTCTCCGACAGCTGTGCAGAGCTCCTGGAGAACATTAGAGCGTGAAAGTGCACTCCCGGACACTGCACTTTTCAAGCCGTCTTGCAGCCCGTCTGTGGATACGACCCCCTCCCTTTTCGGTCGGCTGAATACGACCCCCTCGTTGTTCTTTGCGCAACGGGCGGTTGACCCTGGTGGCAAGTGGCACGCTTACCACGCGAGCGGTCCGGGGATCAAATCCTGGGTCGTGAGTCGCCCGGGCCAACCAAGCCTTCCATCCCTCCGGGGTCGGTTAATTGGTACCAGACTTGTCTGGGAGGATAAAAACACATCCCTCACATACTCGAGAGTCCTCACAAACTTGAGAGTTCTCGAAAGGATTTACCAAGAGCGTCTTCGGCAAATACAGCTAACAAAGAAACCGATTCATGCCAGTGCGATCCGTTCCTTTTGTCCATTTTGCCACACCTTCCTTAAATCTTCAATGTCATTACAATTCTTTTTTCATTTTCTATCATAAATATGGGCGGAAGTGGTGTAGTGGCAAGTGGCACGCTTACCACGCGAGCGGTCCGGGGATCAAATCCTGGGTCGTGAGTCGCCCGGGCCAACCAAGCCTTCCATCCCTCCGGGGTCGGTTAATTGGTACCAGACTTGTCTGGGAGGATAAAAACACTGACTTGTACATCGGCTGGCCCCGCAAGTCATTGTATAGGCCACATCGCATTCAAACGCCACTACGAATGTACAAATGGAAGTAGAATGCGTGCCGCATCCCAAAAAGGGATTGATCAACGGCAAATGCTTTATCCTTATCCTTATGAAACAAAAGTGGGACGCCTACAAGATGGGTCAATCATTTTTGAGGGCACGTTTTTGACTTGCGCTGAGATCACAGGCCAAAATGATTTGTGCTGCCCCACGCTTCATTCTTTAGGAACAACTTGGGAC